GAAAGAGTGCTGGGGTCAGATGATCCCAGTCATAGGTGGTAGTAGGATGGCACTGGTTGCCCGTCTCAGGCTGCATCTAGGATTGTGCTGAGGTGAGACAGGAGGGAATATCCAAGATGTTAGGCATAGGTTTCATCCCTGGGTTCATCATTTGAGCATATTGTGAAGTGGGTTGGGTCCTTGGGTTCAGGCCACGGTGCTTCCATTTGGGAGGAAGAGGAGGAAAACAGGCCTGAAGTTGTTACTTAACATGTACTCAGGAGCCTAGAACAAGGGGTTGGGGAGCAGGAGAAGGGAAGGGAGAGCAAACTATCTCCGTGTGAGAGGGAGCAGATATTATGTGGCTACTGCAGTTGGGCTTTGGTTCTGGGCCTTGGCTGGGATAGACTGGAATTTGGAGAAAGCTCCCCATACCACTACTCTTCTCCAGAGGTCATCTAGACCCTGATCTGCCCTCGCTCATCTCGGTCTTGCTACAGAAGGAAGCTGGACCTTTTTTTCCATTCGCATTTTAATTTCCAGAACTCTCTGGTTTCCCTAGTGACTGTCAGGCTTGAGTGGAGACTCTCATATTTGATGCTCCACCGACATGTGGATGGGGCATGGGAGCTTGGAGTGCTTAGGCCATGGCACAGTGCAGGAGCTCCCATGTCAGTCTCCCAGGGTGCTGTGCTGGGCCCTAACCTTCCCTCAGCCTTTCCCATACATATGTGTGGTGTGAGCTCAGCTCTTTAGATTTGCTGAGGCTCCAAATATTGGAAGTGCAATGCAGGGCAGAGAGTGGGGGGAGGTGGGCAAAGTTTGGTGAAAGTTTGGAGAGAGCTGCAGGCAGAAGGGCAGATTTGGCCCCTGCTGGGGGAAAGCTCAGTGGAAGAGAAGGCATAAAAAGCACAGAACAAAGTGGAGAGCACATGCCCCAGCAGCTGACCTGTTCTCATGACAGGGGGTCTCTTGGCCTAGTGCCTTCTCTCTCTGGCACAAAGACCTCCTTTCCAGGGGGCAGATTCATAGATGCTAGGGTCAGAAGGGATCATCGAGTCTGACCACCTGCCTAGGCAGCAGTGGTCCAGATGTTGGACCAGGAGAGATGGGGAATGGTGGAGGGTGTGATGAGGTCCTGTTGGAAAAGGGGTGCTTTGGTCTGTGGAAATGGCCTCCTGGGACACTGCTCAAAGGGAGCAAATGGTTGTTAGAAAGGGGAAAGTGGGAGCTCAGGGCCAGTGGAGCAGCTGTGGTCCACCCCAGGCAAGGCCAGGAGCAGCAAGACACCCTCTCCCCCATCCCGTTCCAGGCCTCAGCTCCAGGCAGGGCAAGTCAGTGACTGGAGCCATCACTGCCTTGATAGTGGGTGAACCAGAGCCTTAGAATCACAGGAAACTTAAGCTAATCTGATCACAGGACCCTCCCTGCTGTCTCTGGGTGAGTCGCAGCAGAAGGGGAGATTGTTACCCCAGGCGCACACCCAGCTGCCACCCTGAGACATGGCTGTATCAAGGGGTTTCATTTAGCACCTTTTGATCTCACCTCGTCCTCCTTCCCTCCTTCCCTCCCTCCCAAATGCGCCTTTCCTTCCCCATCGGGACGTCTATGCAGGATGCCATGCTGTGCCGCAGAGCTGCCGGGCTGGGCAGAGTGTTTTGCTGAGGTGTTTCTAAAGGGCTTAGACAATAGTGCACTTTGAGGCGTGCTCAATGGAGGTCGGCCAAGGTGTCCAGGGTTTTCAGTGCTCTGCAGAGGAGCAACTGAGTCTGCTGTTTAAAATGGCAAAAAGCTTCTCGTTGTGTCTTAAAGAAAATGTTTCCCCCTTGTCCCCAGAATCCTGTTTCCGCAAGGAACCCAGAAACAATCATCCAGATTCCTACCACAGGAGAAAGCCCCGTCTGGGAATGATGATGTTTAAAGAGCTGTTTATTTACAGGGGGTTTCACTTCACAGCCTGGAAAGGAGCGACTGACAATGGTTTTGAGACTCAGCTAGGGGCTGGGGCTGGGGGAATGGGTGAAGGGAGGGGCTAGGGAATTACAGGGAGCCTGGCCAGATGCCATACCAAAAGCAAACAGTTTTTCTACCTTTTTTAATGTTAGCTCTCCAGTGTGGTTGCTGTCCTCGAGTGCAGTGTCTTCTCCCCATCACCCCCACCCCTTCTTGGGGTCCTTAACCCTCAGCTTTTAATTGCTGAAGGAAACAAAGCAGTAAGACAAAACCACCAGTCACCAGTAGAGAAGGGGGTGTTGCTTAGTCACCCCAACCCACCCAACTAACTCCTTTTGCTGTGGGCAGCTGGAAACGCTTGTAAATAATGTGCCAGGGTGAAACCTGAGCTCCGATCTTTCTGAGCACCTCAGTTTGCTGGGCCCTAAACCTGGGTGTCCCTTTTGTTCTTTTCATTGAAAGAATTGAAGGTTTTTTTTTTTGTTCTGTTTTTTTGTTGCTGTTCGTGTAAATACTAGTCTTTTTTGGAAGAAATAATGTAAAGACGTTTTGTATAAACTCTGAATTATTTTCTGGTTGCTTTTTCTTAGAAAAACAAATGAGAACTAAAAAAAAAATTAACCACAAGAACGGGTGTAAAACATTGTCATGCTACGATCCAAGTCAGGAGGCTCGTTCGAGGGCGTGTGCGCGCGCGCGGGCATGTGTCCCAGGGGGCCATGGGGAATCGGGTATATGGGGTGAGGTGCGAACTGCCTAGATTATTGTATGAAAATCCAAGTCCCAAAACTGCTCTCCAAAAGAGATGGGGAAGTGGGGGGAGGAGCTGCTGCATGAAACTGGCCTGAGGGGCCCAGATTGGTCCCCTAGGTGTTCAGTCCCTCGCCTGGAAGGATAACCTGTAATATCTCTTCTGGTGCCTGCTTCAGTGCTCTCCAGAGGAGACTGCAGCATAGTGCTCCTCCCAAGAATATTTAGAGCTGTGGTGGGCATTCCCCACTTCGTTGATATAATGCAGGATCTTACTTCCCATTAAAATATAGTTGCTTAGGACCCAGTTCAGGCTGCTTCCCTCTTTCCTGATCACAGCTAACTTTTCCAAGCTATCCCCCTCACAACCCCCAGCCTCCTTGTACCTACCGCTCCAGGAGCTGGAGTCGTATCATTCTCACGTGAAGATCTGATCATAAGTTTATATGAGTTTCTTGCCTTCCTGGTTGTGGAGAAGAGCTTGCAAATGTGACCCAAGACTCAAAGGCAAAAAAAGAAATGACCAGAACCTCAGACTTTAATTTTAAACCTCATGATTTTTCAGCCACCTCCTTGCCTGTCCCTCATGCATTGGGGGCCTGACTCCTCACATTTTAACATGTGGGGGCTTGTCAGTATGGTGGCTTTGCTTCTCCCACCCCTTCTTATTTTGAACTGAAGAGTGCAAGTTAAATGCAAACTTCTCCTGTGCTGGAGAAGGCCCCTTGTGCCTAACTAGAGCCCATGGTTGAATGGACTCGTTAGTTCAGTCGGCCCAAGGATCATTGGTTGTGCAGGGAGATGCGCATGTGCCCCATGGAAGCCATCTCCAGGCCCATGGGGAGGCTTGTCTCTGCTCTCTGCAGCTGGTTATTACTCTCCAATTGCAGCTTCTAATGTTCAAAGCTCCTGCATTATATCAACACAGCAAATCCATGGAGTGTCACTTGTGCAGTACCTGGTTCTCTGTGGAAGGGGAAGTTAGCAAGCTGAAGTGAAAAGGGGCAAGAGACCCTGGTGTGTCTGTGGTAGCGTGCACGCGTGCACAAACACCCTGTAACGTGGCATGCTCCCACATTTCAGAGATGTAAAAATGCATCCATCCTTGGGAGTGTGTGTACATACCAAGTATATGCAGACACACCCTGCCTGACAGATGAGCCCTGAACACCATACGTCACAGCCATGAGCACATTTGGGTCATCTCATTAAATCCCACGATCCAGTATTCTGAAGAAAAA